GCTTCTCCAGTACCGAATAGACCTTACCAGTTAAGGTGTAGTCATTTTAAAAATTAATAGTCAAGGCATCAAGAATAGTTTACTTCAAACATGTTAAACAAAGTATCAGTATGACACGACCAAAACACAAACTTCTGACAAGGTTTAAGAAGTGAGAACACGTATCATGTCTATACTGACACTGAGCCCTTTAAACCACAATAAAAATTCAGACAATGCAAAAATTGGATCCAAGATTCCAACCATGCTGAACTCTGTGTTCCTGCTTCCCACATTAGCTAATCGAGCCAAAACCCACCACACTAAATTCCCATATGTCCCTTCTAGGTTTGTGGTCACTCATGTGCCACACCTATTTTAAGTTTTCCAGTACAAACAAACCTGAGACGTTAGTGTAAATCTGAATTTTCCAGTTTTATGCAGACTGATATTCTATACTCAGTGTATTGGAAAGTTTTTAAGTTACTATTTCCACGTTTCCAATAATGTTACTTGAACCTTTTTTCCTTGAATATCTGACATCATCAGCTGTCTTCCTCCCTATCAGAGTTCGATTCTGTGAAGGCATGACTCATGCTGCTGTAATGTAAAATGAAGAATACTGCTGGAAGTCTAAATACATCTAGAGTTCTGAAAACAGAAGCTAACTTAAAAAACCAGCTGAAAGTAAAGGCGTTTATTACAGATTTAAGTTCTTATCTGCTTCATAGACTATAACGGCCTGTATCAGAGCATGGAAAATCAGTGCTTCCTATGTGGTTAGCTTTTTATAAAGACCCAGACAAATCATTTGTGGTGTCATATCTGTGCAAGCATTACTCATGGTTTTACAAGAATGGCTGGTACCCACAAAAACAAACGTAAGCTCCCACAGATGAGCACATTGAAACATGTGCACACCAGCGCTTTAATGGGTCAGTGTTTTTACAGCTGGCAGCAGACAAGAAGCCAGTGCAAACAGTGACATCTCTGTGAATGTGTGTAGCCTGCGGTTATACATGCACCCGAACATAAGGCTGTCACACACTCGACCACAAACATAAACTCAACCGTCTAGTGAAGGATTAACCCTCATTACCCGCAAAAACTATAGTTTTAATTTCCACTTGGGCCATTCACACTGTTCAGCTATCTGTATAGATACTCTGATAAAATATACAGCACTTACAGCAGGAAATCTGCAGTAATGAGATTTCCCCAAAATATAGTACCATAATGTCCTCCTACAATGACCAAAACTGCATTTGATCCTGCTCCAGATTTGTGAAATGGGGAGTATATTTTCAGAGTGCTGTTTTCTCCATCTGTGTGACCACAGTTCTGGGCTGCTCTCCCTGCATCTTTCTGCCCACTGTTCCCACGCCTCATTTTGGGCTAAATGCATATTTAGGGAAATACTGAGCGCCAAATCATATGGTTTTCCTTCTTCCTTTGGTGCACTTCAAACTTAAAAAGAGCTGCAAGGAAATTTTTAATTTGCTTTGTGTAAATCATAGACCAGTACATTATTCTGAAGGTGATTCAAATCTATACTTGCATTTAACCTGCCCTTTTTAGCTAAGTCATTATATAAAGTCTTTGACATCCACATAAAGCTGATGGAATTAAGACCACGCTCAAGAATCCAATGGTTTGTAGTGGTTTGCATTTCTCTTGTACCTCTGCCTTAAGGGCTTCAGAAAAGCATGAGATCAGTTTAAAAACCCAGTGAGTTCAAATAAAGCTTCACTTGGAAAACTGTCCTGCCATCCGACCGCAGTTTAACGGACATCTGCATGCCAGTCATTAAAATAAATTATTTTAGAGCTACTTCCACTGTCCATTAGCAAAGCTTCTAGCCTGCACTTAAATACACCCCACAGTACAATCAGTGCAAATTATACAAGCACCAACTCACTCATGTTTCCTTGTGAGGAGAAATGAATGACAAAATGGATTCCTCTATAGTGCTATTGTGTTGAGTTCGACCAGTACTTTGGAGCTATTTGAACACATGCAAAGCAGACTAAATTGGTTCCAGTGTACGCGTGCGGGAGTACGGGTAATGAATAAGATCCTGGCACAGAACAACTGGGTTCCTAATGCACTCAGTGGAACAGGAGAAACAAACAAATAAATGGATAAAGATGACGCAAATGTAAACTCGATGGTGTAGTTTTTTTTAAAAAAAAGAAGTGTGTGTATGTGTCTGATGGGGTGTGGGGGACCATACGTGAGACTGAGAAGGCAAGAGGAGAGGAGGGAGGGGAGGAAAACAGAGTTTTCAGAATTGTTATTGGAGCCATAGAAGTCGTTTCTGACTTAAAGAGTTCCAGATGTGGGTCAGGCCTTGAAAAAAAATGGAAAGACAACGCTACGTCAAGTGAAAAGGAGGAGTTAAATGAGATTATATTTAAATTAATCCTAAATCTACCCTCTGGTTTGTAAAGGTATAGAGACGCTTTTTGTTAGGGGGGAAAGAGTCGAGAGGTTTTTGGGAACCACTTTCAGGGTGTGGAGTGTCAGGTGGTAAGGTGGCAGAGGGGCGTGTGGCTTTCACAGACCAGCATTCAGCCTATAAAAAACTAGGGTGGTCAGAAGAATAGTCTGTTGTTATTATATACACAGTGGTCTTTTCAAAACCAGAGAATGAACTCACCAAAATAAGCCATTAAAATCTCAACCAAGAGACATCTGGTTAAATACAAAAGCTGCTCTTGTACTTGTTTTGTATAGAAATAGCAACAACTCAAGCATAGGGTCATGTTCAGTGCACTGCAATTGGAAGTTTATTGGAGTCACTGGGAAAATGACTATAGAATATCAAAAGTAATTTTTTTTGTCAAACTCTTGACATGCATGATATAGATCACAGATCAGGACTGGGCCTTAGTAATTTCAGCCTTGAAACACTGGACCATGGCTACTCATTTGCTCTGGCTTTTGTTCATAATGCACACTGGTGTGTGTGCTTCACCAGCATTTGTTTTCAATCCCTCTATATTGGGCTAAGCTGCATGATCACACAACAAAAGACCATTGTGCTGCAGTAAAGAGCTCCGCTCCAGGGAGCTGGTAGTAGGCCACAAACAAAGGCTTTTTACATTGTCCCAACACAAGCTCATGAATCCACTGCCAGCAGTCATGGAATGGGGATCCCTGGATTCGACCAAAAGGGGTAGGAAAAAGATTTACCGGTAATCAAAAAAGGATGTTAGAGAATTGAATAGGCAGGGAAAAGATGCTCTGCAAAGCTGAGATGCAAGAAGATGTGCAAAAGGGATCAGTGCAGCAGGAGGAGAGAACAGGATGAGACGTTAAAAAAAAAAAAAAAAAGAATACACCAGAATGAAACTTGGCTGTCCAGCACAGAATCCAGCCTCATTTCTCCTTTTGTGAATTTTGTCAATGAGGAAAATGGTTTCTTTGTCCAGCATACAAGCCTGCAATGTTGTTTTTTTATTCTGACAAGTCAAATTAGGAACAAATCAATCAAAACACTCGTTTACAAAAGCGGCCATTGTATCCAGCAGCAGGCTAACAGTTCACCTTTTCCGCACGGAAACTGTGCCAGAGTAAAAAGCGGTGGTCAGCACACTGAATGGAGAATTTGTTGGGGCATGTGGGGGGTGGGGGTGTCTGAGTGAGGTGCATCAGTAACAAAGCATTTGATAAAACACGTTGAGCATCCCACAAAGCAAATGCAGAGGCCTACTCATCGCAACGTCATGAAGACAAGGTCCCCAAAAAAATCATGACGAAACAAAACCCCACACAATTTCAGTTACTAGATCAATGCTTTGTGCGTCTTAAAATTAAAACATTCTAAGCATTTTCTTTTTATGGCTGCCAACCATCAGGTGAGATTTTAACTCTGGAAACAATATCCATCCATCATCTTTTACCCGCTTCTTCCTTTTTGGGTTGCGGGGGTCACTGGTGCCCATGTCCAGCTATCCACTGTGCGAGAGGCGGGGTACACCCTGGACTGGTTGCCAGTCCATCACAGAGACACATAAAGACAAACAACCATTCACTCTCACTCACACCTAGGGACAATTTAGAGTTACCAATCAGCCTAACATGCATGTTTTTGGTCTGTGGGAAGAAACCAGAGTACCCAGAAAAAACCTACGCATGCACGGAGAGAACATGCAAACTCCACCCAGAAAGATCCCCAGCCGAGATTTGATCCAGCAACCTTCTCACCGAGAGGCAACAGCTCTACCAACTGAGTCACCGTGCCACCCAGAAACAATCCAAGTGACTGAAAACAAGTTAACAATGGACAAAGACGATGAATGATGCATTTTGAAGATGCGGTCTACACTCATCTCCAGGCCAGCGGTCACTCTTTCAGGGATGAAGATGTTCACATCCTGGATAGAGAGGAATGATGGTTTGAGAGAGGAATAAAGGAGGCCATTATTGTGAAAAGAAACCGTCCATCATTAAACAGGGGGTGGAGACCTCAGTGTTCAACTGTCCCCCTCTTACAATGCCGTTATTGCTAGTGTCACTCAGCCCTCTGAATAGCAAGGGTCCATCAGGTCCATCGTTAGGCTGATGGTCCTCCTTGATCATGGGAACAGCTGGTTTTGAATGTCAACAACAAACTGGTTGATCCACTCTGAGAAGGTGCTATTTATAAGACTGAGCTGAATACAGCACCTCAGACCGAAGAAGTCTTTCGGATGAAAGATGAAACGTTTCTACAATTTTGTTTTGAACCCATCCAGAGGACCTGACTTAACTTTTTTAAATTTTTGTTTATCGAGCACGCATCAGGATATTTTGAAGATGCACTGAGAAGTTTGATCTTTTTGATGTACTCGTATGCATTTACGCTGAGATTTATTGAGCAAAGGAAGCAGAAAAAGTGCTTTGTTTACACGGAGTGCAAACCCACATTTCACAATCGCTTTTCGACACATCTGGAAACCTTCAATTGAAATAGTTCAGGATCACCTGCTTCTGTTCAAACTTTGCAATGAGAACTTTAAAAAAACAAACATGTTTACCATTGGCGTTCTTCCCGCAGATCAGGTGCTCATAGTGTTGCAGGACTCCCCACAGCTCGGCGTCATTGTTCACCACCCCCTCCAGGGTCTCTGCACTCACAGGAACGCACCCTGAGCCCGAATCAGGCCCGGGCTGACCCCTGTCAGCCAACAGCACCCGCACTCCTACCTCCTCCACCAGAGCCTCCATGCATGCAGTCAGGGAAATCGCTGCGTATTCGTGGATGCGCACGGAGATGCGCGTGTCCACCATCCAGCGGAAGAAGCGCCCCACGGAGAACGAGAGTCCACAGCGGGCGGACTTGCCCTTCCTCAGCAGCTCGCCGGAGCTCATGCAGTACATGGAGATGGCCTTGACCGTGGCAGACACGCAGTGGTCGGCCAGGGCCCAGCTGAGCACCAGCCTCATGGCGCTGTGCACGTCGAAGCGCGTGCAGCGGCAGTGCATGACGCTGAGCCGCTGCGCCTCCCTGGCGATGCGGATGAGCGCCCTGCGGAGCAGAGCGGACAGACGCCGCGCAGCTTCCGGGGAGAACACAGGTGCGACCCCCCACTTCACGCCCCCACTCTCGGACACTTTGCGAAGTATCTTAGCAACGTCCTCCTCCGTCCAGGGGAACTCCTCCAGCTCAGGTAAGCGGTTGCACTTGGAGAAGATGTCCTCCGGGTCTTCGGGGAGGACGGTGTTGACGGTGTCCCAGCTGTTGTTCCTGCTGTTCATGGAGCCCGAGTAGTACCACCAGTTTCCCCGGTGGGGGGTCGTCATGAAGGCCTGAGAGTTGGACTTGGAGGAAGACAGGCTGAGGGATTTGCAGGAGTCCCCCGCCCCGTAGCCTGAGTCCAGCGTCAGGTCCTCCAAGGTTTTCATGTGGACATTCAGACCAGCCATGGCTGCCCAAACTCTTCTCAGACTCAAGAGGAGCGGGGACCTCCTCGGCTACACCTGGAAGTCAGTGAGGCAGCTGTCGAAACTTCACGCAAAAGCTGGACGAACTGGTTATACGGAGCGACACTTCCCTGACATGACTGAAGTTCAAGTGGGCACGACTGCCACCGCAGAGTCGGTGTTGTACAGGAAAATGTGTCAGAGAAACTTGAGGGGAGTCCGTCTCACCTTTTCCTCCGAACGGTGCGGGAGTTTAAACTTCCCCCCAAAACAAACAGCGCGTTTTAAAACTTGTCCGAATGTCTTCCCGGTGTTTCAGTCCAGCCAGACGCGAGTCCATGTGTAGAAAACGGTCGGTAGTATCACTTGGCGGACTTAAAAGTTTGGGGGGATGGCACAGAAGCACTGAAAGTCCGAACTGACTGCTCCCCTCCTCATCAGCGCTTCATCACCGACAGCCTGCGGAAGAGACTCAACTACAGGAGCGTGAGGGGCGGGGCTGCAGCTGAGTGACAACACAGGAGCACCGTAACAACCAATCAGAATCTGGACAAATTTTGCGTCAGCCAATCAAACGACTCGGAAGGATTTAGTATTCAAGCTTGTTTAAATAAACATACCTGTTCTTGTTTGGATCATTAAACCTTTTGTAGCCTGTGACCTACATTAGACTGCACTCACAGTGAGTCATCATCACAAATCATAAACTTTTATTTTTATATTTTTGTCAATGGGCGGTAATAAAAATACCAACAAATATAAATTACTTTTTTAAATTATGACTGATTGCAATTATTTACATTATAATTAATTCAGTTTTGTCGTTTAGATTTCACACTGCATATGACTTGTTTCTTACTTTGATTTTTTTTTCTAAAGCGTTATAAACCCCCCCAATGGCTTGTTTAAATGTTTATCCTTTTTATCTGTTTATCTTTTATTTTTATTTCCCACTAACACCTGTATACACTGAAATGTATTGTGCCTATGAGAACAGTTTATTTGAGGTGACCTAATGCATAATATGTGCCTACTCTTGCTTTCTGCAGAAATTCTCATTAAAAGCTTAAGTTTTAATTAATTTGTGATGTTGCTAAGCGAGGTGGATGAAAAACAAGTTGACGAGGCCTGTGACTACCTGTTTCTAATCACATCACACTCACAGACGTAGGGTGTGTCAGCACTGGGACAAGGTCCAACATGATTACATAATGCTAAAGATCTGTGCATGCAAGAAAGGTGTCTGACTCAATGATCATCTTATTAGCCAACCTAAATTTATTTGGAAATTTGCATTTATTTAAAATGAATAAACATAAACGAAACACATGAGAATGCATGCACCTTGGCTCATGAAGCTTTTAGCCTGGGAAGATGTGGAGTGTCAACCTTTCAGTCCTGTTAGCAGCATGGGATCTGTGCTGTTAATTAAAGCTTCTCCTCAGTGGGATCATAGGAGGTCAACACTTGCCTCATCCAGATGCTGTGTAACTGTAACAGCGCTTACTTCATGTTCCACCCCACAACAAAGCTGCAAAACCTTTGATTTGACCCCAAAACAGGTCAGCTCCAAAGGGAGCTACAACATGTTGCTTTATTGTTTTTTTATTGGTATTTGTCACAAAACAAAACCTCACACTTGGGGGAACTAATGCATGTGAAGAGAGGTGGGCTTACAAATTATTATTATTTTTTTATGTCAGTATATCTATCCATCCCTTATCTCAGCTTCTTCCTTTTTGGGTTGCGGGGGTCACTGGTGCCCATATCCAGCAGTCACTGTGCAAGAGGTGGGGGACACAGGTCTCCAGTCCATCATAGAGACAACCGAGACAAACAGCCATTCACTCTCTCACTCACACCTAGAGACAATTTAGAGTTACCAATCAGCCTGCATGTTTTTGGTCAGTGGGAGGGAAGCGGAGTACCTGGAGAAAACCCACGCATGCACGGAGAGAACATGCAAACTCCACCCAGAATGACCCCCAGTCAGGATGTGATCGCACGACCTTCTCGCTGCAAAGAACAGCTTTACCAACTGCACCATCCATGTTAATATATTCATGTTATTTTTTAAATAAATAAAAAAAACAGGGAAAAAAAAGAGCCAGATGACATTTTTTGCAAAACACATTTAGATATTTAGATATATATATTTATATATTTATTTTATTTTTATTTTATAGCTGAATACACACCTAAAGATGTCTCTGTAAAAGCCAAAAGCCATAATGATTTAGAAATTTGTTGTTTTCAAAGCAAATGGACTAAAAAGTATTTGTTCGTTTTTTCAGCATTGTTAATAACGTCATGTTGAGAAATAGCAGAGCTGTAGGGGGTTTTAACAAAACTAAAAAATAATAGTATAATCTCATACGCATGATGTTACACTCAGAGTATGCACTGAAGACGAGTCTCAGCTACTAGCACATCAAATTCTAGTTAAAAATCTCCAACAACCGACTGACTTGTAATCATGTTTTGTGCTTCATTCTATATGTTTAATTAAACTTTGCCCAGTGGTTAATGATACATTTTTCTAACAGAGTTGAATCCAGATAGTTTGTAGCTAAATTTAAAACAAAGATTTTGAGCACTCTGTTTACTCAGAACATATAATCACAATATATTTAATAATTTCAGCCCACTATGTGTAAAGTAGACTGAGTTGTAGCCGTTAAGTATTTTTTATGATCAGTTGGATGTGGCAGCTATCTTGAATCAAGCTGAATAAAAAAGTTAATCAGTTGTAGAATGATTACTTTTTATACGTTTTCAAAAAAAAAAGGTCTTGTGTTCCATGACACACCGAGAGATGAGCCAAACACAATTGTCTGCCTTCACCTATTAGCAAAGGGCAATAACTATTGCCTGTCCCCCACCCCCCAAAAAGTTTTTAAATAAGGCCTACTTGCAGTTGATGCTGAAAATCCCTCATAGACTATTATGTGACACGAAACAAGGATTAAGTGTTGACCCATTGTTTTATTTGTGTAAAAAAACACAATCCAAGACTTCACAGATTGGGAATAGGATTATGTTTCTATATTTATTCATGCAACTTGAGTTATTTCTGTTCCAAATGTGAAGATATTACTCTACATTCATGCATTTCAAAGTATCAGTTTACATTCTCTTGCTTGAGTGGTTTGTGTGACAATTAAACGAGGTTTGCGCGCCCTCATGTGGCGACATGAGGAATGGATTTTTATTTTATTTTATTATTTTTTTTGTAATTGTTTTTGTTGTTTTCACAAACAGGTGCATCTAAAAAAAATTAGAATATCGTGGAAGAAGTTCCGTTTTTAGTCAGTAATTTTATAAAGTGAAATTCACGTTTTACATAGATTCATTACACACAGAGTGAAATATTTCAAGCCTTTAGTTTTTCTTGCTTTGAGGATTATAACTTAAAATAACGAAAAAGCAAAAAAAATCAGTGTCTCAGAAAATTAGAATATTGTGAAGAGGTTCAATATTGTAAACTCTTGGTGTCACGGCCTGATCAGCTGATTAATTCATAGACATGAGCTACAAATGTCTCATTCCTCAAGTCAAACCACTCCTGAACCAGAAATAACGTCAGAAGTGTCTTACCTGCTGAGGAGAAGTACTGGTCTGTTGCTCAGTGGTCCAATGTCCTCTTTTCAGATGAAAGTAAATTTTCATGTAATTTGAAAATCAAGGTCCCAGAGTCTGGAGGAAGAGTCCACCTCCAGAGTCCACGTTGCTTCAAGTCAAGAGTGAAGTTTCCACAGTCAGTGATGGTTTGGGGCCATGCCCTCTGCTGGTGTTGGTCCGCTGTGTTTTCTGAAGTCCACAGTCAACTCAGCATCTACCAGGACATCTTGGAAACTTCATGCTTCCTTCTGCTGATGAGCTTTATCGAGATGCTGATTTAATTTTTCAACAGGAATCATCTCCTGCCCACACTGACAAAAGAACCAAAAGCTGGCTGTGGAATATTCTAATTTTCTGAGACACTGAATTTTTTTCATTATTATTTGTAACCATATTTATAAAAAATACAAAAAATAAAGGCTTGAAATATTTCACTCTATGTAACAAATCTATATAATGAGTTTCACTTTCTGAAATGATTGGCAAAAAAAACCAAAACGTTTTCACAATATTCTAATTTCTTGACACGTATGTGTGAAACATAGATATGACTGAAGAAAACATTAACCAATCACTGTAAGCCCCCAGAATCAACACATAAAATAAATCCAGACTTTAGAATAAAATTTTATTAGCAAAAAAAATAATAATAATATTAAGACGAATGAAAATAAAAGTACAATACATTCTTAAAACCTTTCCTCTACAAAACAATTTCACAGAAATTACCTTTGAATGTATTCTCTATTTTTATTTCTATCATGTTTTTTTATAATCTTGTGTTTACTGTGTTTCTTTTACTTTTAAATAGTCCCATGTCACTGTTAAATATTGTACCGTATAGACATTTTGAACTGTCAAATTAAAAAAGAAAAACAGTTCTTGGAGAAAAAATTGACAATCAAATAGTCAATAAAAGATCATTAGCTCTCATTCATATATATATTTATATATATATATGAATATATATATATATATATATATATATA